TCCCCGCCCCGCCGCCCTCTGTCAGCCCATCATCATCCCTTCGGACCCCCCCTCCTCGGGCATCACCGGCGGTACTCATCCATCCCCCCGTGGGATCACCATGGGATGATCTTTAGGGTCCCTTTCAACTCAAACCTGTCTGTGATCCCCCAGGGATCACAGGGTGATCCCCACTGGCATCACCAGTAGGTCCCATTCCCCAGTGGGATTCTCCCAGGACCATCTTTAGAGTCTCTTCCAACCCAAACCATCTAATAATTCCATGATTCCACAGGCTCCAAGGAGGGGAAGGGGTTTCTGCAGCCCCTGGTGCACACACAGCACCTGTGCTCCTACCAGCTCCTTCCATTCCCAACCCAGGGTTTGGGATGGCAAGGACATGCAGACATGGAGTGGCCCGACACCCCCGGAGGATGCTCACAGCAGCATCTTTAACCTCCATCAGGCAATCGAGGTCATGCCTCACCCCAAAATAAGCCCAGGCATGCAGACAGGGAAGCATGCAGCTTCTCCCAGCTTAAGGAGGGGGGAAACCAGGCCACATCGATAACCAGAGCCCACAGCACCACCACTTCCATTAGGGATTGGCCGCTGTGCACCCCTGGGTGCTGTGCATGCCCACAGCCCTACATCAGCCTGCTGCAGCCCTCCATGCTGCTGCTTCCAGACCTTTTTATCCTATTAAAAAATAAAGACCAAAAAACCCCCAGCGGGCCTTTGCTCACATCCAAATTATCCTCGGCTGAAGTGATGCAGAGGACTCGGCACACGGATGCTGAGGTGGAGCGGCTGCAGGGATGACATGTGTTGGAGCTGCCTGTTCCCTGCAGGGAGACCCCAAAACACTGCTGCTCCCCAGAAACCAGGGTCTGCTCTCACCCTTGTTAATGACAAGAGGAGCAGTGGGACCTCAGTCGATGCCAACAGTGGGTGGCAAAGGACCCTGTGCCGTCACCCCATCCCAACCCACGGGCACGTCGCTCTCATCTCCCCAGCTTGTCCTCGTGCTGCTGCTGTACCAGTGTGGCTGACATGGGTTCTCTTCTTCCCCCTTCCTGTGTGGCAGCTCCACTGCTCCTGGGGTGTTCCAGGAATTCTGGAATTCCATACTACATCATGTCTTATGATCCAGTTCCCCCCAAGGCACCGCAGGGACCAGAGGATATGGGAGTTGCAAGGGATATTTCAAGCTGTGTGTGCTCGAGGCCACTTCAGCCAAGGAAAGGACAGACCCCACACAATTGACTTCACACATCATGGCTGTATTTACACACACAAATATATATACACACATGTATAGGCTGGGTTGTATCCTCACCACCTCTTCCATTGCCATAAATCCCACCATGCTGTGTGGGACACAGACTGCTGGCAAATTAGGTCCTACACACTGTACTGTCACACCAGCGTGCCCAGAAGCTACAGGATACCTACAGGAGCTACTCAAAGTGCACCCACATCTCAAGCCTGCTCCACCATCACAGAGTTTATAGTGGTGACTTGTTCCTACCACAGACCATCAGATGCTGAACGCCCCTGCGGTGCCTCTCCTGTGAGCTTCCCTTCTTGACAGCATCTGCTGTGTGCTCTTTGGCTCTTGGCTTGCCTGAGCAGAGAGGCTTCGTGGCTCCAGGCTGCAGAACAGAAACACATCAGACACAGCATTCACCGTGAGAGGTCCTGACAGTCATGTGTGACCTGCTCCTCTCCCCCACCCCAGTACATGGCCCAAACCCACTGCTACAGGTGCCTGCACCACCTCCAATTTTGGCAGTGTGATACTGCCATGATGCTGAGCTGGCTGAGCAGCAGGACCCTAGGACCTCCAGCCTCTTGGGGTGGTCTGACCAACCACTCCATCTGTGCTTCCAACAGACTGCTGTAAAAAGTGCAGGACTTGGGTGTCCCCTGCTCCTGCCCCACTCACCTTGTGCCGTTTGGCCGCTCGTCGCAGCCTCTTCTCCTGCTCCAGCTGGAGCTGTGTCCTCTCCAGAGCCTCTCGCAGCAGAGCCTTCTCTTCTGCCTCCCTGTGGGCTTCATCTTCCAGGTTGGACATCTCCTCCTGACACCTTCGCAGGGACGCTTGGTTCTGCCTGTGCAAAGCAGGAGGGGGGATTCTGTCAGTCTGTTGCCTTCATCGACCCCCCCCAACGCCCAGCTGGGCCCTCCCACACCTGCCCTGGTCCTGCTGACACTGTCCCTCCTCCCCAGGCTCCAGCCACCCCAGACAAGGGAGTCTGCCCAGGTTTCCCCAGCTCTAACACTGCTCAACCACATCAGGCCACACAAGGTACCAGTGCAGAAAACTGGGAGAAGCTTTCCCCATTTCTCCTAGCATTTAATTTTTATACCATGGCCATGCTGTGACTGGTCCCAGGCAGACACATGACCTGGCAAGGTGCCACATCCCTTGGCATTTCAGGACCAGGTCTCACTGGGAACTGTGACCTTGTTTTTCCACACCTTAGCTGCTCCATGCTTCCCTCATAATCTTTTAGCATTTCTTCTTTCCTTTCCAGGCGATGCTGGAGGTTCCTGATCTTTTTGTACAGCAGCTCCAGGGCCCTCTGTCTCTGCAGTCCCACTTCTTCCCTCTCCTCCAGAGGAAGGTGCTGCAGAGGCTGCATTCCCGACAGCTCCTTCATCTCCATCAGGCTTCCCAGAGCACCGATCACATCAAGGTACTGAGGGAAGAAGAGGGAATGCATTATTTACCAGGTTTGCTGCATTCCATCACACTGCTCAGCCATCTGCTTTCCGTCTGCTCTCCTGAGGAGATGACAGTGTCCCAAAGAAAGTGGGTCTGTGTTCCATTCCCAGCTGCACAGCTTACTGGAATTGGATTGTTTCCTTTTCCAACATGACCATTTCCCTGCTGGATGTTTTCCTGTCCTTTTTGGAGGGAAGAGACCCCACCAGCTGTACTACTCACAGACCCCTCCTCTGGCAGCCTCCTCCATTGGGCCCCAGCCTCTCTCATATCATTTAGTTGGCACCTACATTGGGGAAGGTCTCTGTCCTCACCAACCCTGCCTCTCCTTGCAGATCAGCCCTGAATGCCCAGGGGAACACCCCAAAGGCCTGCAGTGGAAAGGGGAGAATGATGGGGTACATTCTGGGGTCCTGAGATGTCCTGGTAGACACCCAATGTGCCCTGGACCATAAAATCATAGAACGTTGTAAGGGACCTTTAAAGGTCATCTAATCCAACCCCATGCCATGTCTTCAACTGGACCACAGAGCAGTTCAGCCTCAATGGTCCTGCACAGCCCTGCCAGTCACCCCCCTCTGAAATGTGCTCACAAACCTTCTAAACTCTACACCCACTGGGCACTTACACACCCTCTACACGTGATTTACCACGTCTGTCCCTGACGTACCATCTTCTCACTGGGGTCTGTCACCTCAGCCATCTCCAAACTCGCTGCCCTGTTGGTGATCCTGAGGGACCCCCCATTAGGAACGTGGCCAGGAGCCTGCACAGACAGGGAAAGACTTACTTAGCATCTCTGAAAGCCTCATTCTCTCTATTCCAGGGAATACTTTTCCAGCTAAGCCACAGGAACCACAGCCCCCAAACTGCCTTCTTACCTTGCCAGCCTTCAGTTTTGTTCCTGACATGGGTACAGGCTCCATCTCAAGCCCTGTGTGCTGGACTATCTCCTCCAGTAAGTCCTTCACCCGTGGCTCCAAACCCTTCTTCACAGCACCTGGAGGCAAGCAGCCACCAAACTGTGGTGCAACATGTCGTGGCTTCACACCTCAGCCACTTTGAGGCTGGCCAGCTTTTCCCAGCTTCCCTGGGAGGGTGGTGAGGCCCTGGCACAGGTTACTCAGAGAAGCTGTGGCTTCCCCATCCTTGAAAGTGTCCAAGGCCAGGTTGGACGGGGCTTGGAGCAACCTGGGACAGTGGAAGGTGTCCCTGCCCATGGCAGAGGGCAGAATGAGATGAGCTTTAAGGTCCCTTCCCACCCAAATCATTCCATGATTCTAACTGTTCCATGCTTCTAGGAGAGCCCTGTTCACCTGAGCTCTGCCTCTTCTCCAGCATCTTTACTCTCTCCCGGAGCTCAGCCAAACCTTCCTTTTGCCGCTGGATGGTTTCCTGGTGCCTGAGGCCTCGGCATTTTGCACCGAGGTCAGCCAAGTCCAACGGGGGCACCTGGAAGAAGCAGCCCAGCTTGTCCTCACCCAGCCTGCAGCTGGCTCAGCACAAGCTCAGCTTAAGCACAGCCTCGCTGCCAGGCACTGGTCACTTGGCACATGCCAAGAGCAAAGCCTAAGGAGTATCTCCATGGATTTGGAGGGGTATAAGAGACTCGTCAGAGACCCCTTTCCTGCTCCACTGTGCCACAGTGAGGACATGGGCCCTGCAAATGTTCCAGAGAGCCAGGAGAGGGATAGTGCATGTCTCTGAACAGCCATGGTGGCATTTTTCTCTTGCCCTTTGCGTTACCACAGAGCACTTACCATCTACACACAAACACCAGTACGCTTTCTAGACTGTGTTCCCACACAGTCGTGGGCATTATTCTCTATTAAGTGACACTCGTGCACACAGACGTGTGCACTGCCCTCTCCCAGCCCAGTCCAGATTCCTGCATTATGACAAACATCCAAAAACCCGTGGTGGGGCTGGCCCATCATCCCGCCCTGTGCAGGGTAATGATGGCTGCAGACCCCCAGCTCTGGGTCCAGCCACTGTCGCGCCACAGCTCTGCCGAACAGCCCGTCCAGCACTCGGCCCTTCCCCTCTCCATCCCCTCCCCATCCCGCCCTCCCTCAGTCAGCTGGCTGTGAGTCACCGCGGCCCCCGCGCAGCCCGCCGGCCCCGCTGCTGGCTGCCACCGTTCCTGCACAGAATGTACGATTCCCACAGTCCCTCCATCTGCTGCTGCCGCCACCTGCGAGTTCTTCCCTTTTCCAGCCACGGGGAAATCAAATAGGAGTTTGGCACAGGGGAATGAGGAGCGTTGCTTCCTGTCCTGTGCAACGAGCTGCCCCTACTCCTGCATGTACCACTCCAGAACTGGTTCTGCATCACCTGTACAGCATCTCGGGCTCCACGAGTTGGGAAAAGGAGGGAACATGCTCGCATGTTGCCATCCCCTCTAATTGCCAATTAGCACAGCAATTAGCACACACAACACTTTGCTGTTCCAAAGCGCTGTGCAAACAGCTCGTTAAGCAGCAGGAACGCCGGGACTGCAGCACGAGAACCCCGGATCTCGGGCTTGGGGAATGTGGTGCTCCCCCCCTCCTGCCAGCGTGGAGCACAGAAAGTCACCCGGCCTCACTGCAGTGCTGAGAAACAGCGCCGATGCCATCAGTGCTCTGGGCAAACCCACCCCTCGGTGCCCTCCGTGGGGACTCACCCTCTGGGAGGCTTCACCCCCCCGCACTGGTGTCCTGGGAGCATCCTCAGGCTTTTCCACCGTTTGTTGGGAAGCATCCCTCAGCACCTGGCAGCGGGCCTGGGCTCGCCTGTGCCGAGACACAAGACACTGTGGGACCCCATGAGGGATGGAACATGCCAAGGGCATGTTCTGTCACATGTTCCATGTGACCCGAACAGCCTGGGGAGAGCAGCACTCTGGGCACCCACTGATGACTACCATGGTGTGGGTGGGAACACTCTCTTAGTTACAACTGACTTGGTTACACATCTGCTGGCACAAGCTCCACTAAACCCCCATTTCGGTTCCCATGGCAGTGGATATCAGTGCAATGGAGCTGAGCTCCATCCTGATGCTCTCACATGTGCCTTTTGTTCTGGGGAGAACCCCAAACACCATCAGCTGCTGGGCACCCACAGAGTGGCATTGGTGGAACCTTGGCTCATGTCCCTGTGTACCTTAACTCTTCAGCTGCTGCTTTCAGGGATCGATCCTTCTCCTCCACAAGGCTGGACATCTGGGATAGCTTCTCCCTGAGCTGGTTCACTTCCCGCTCCCGGTGTTTCAGGCGGCTCTGGTTCTTCTCCAGCTCCACCTTCTGCTCCTCGCTCAGCTCCCCTAAGTGCAAAACAGCCTCGTGGGATGCTGGCTGACTCATCACCCAGTCCTGGGGGATCTGCAGCTGGCATTCAGGGATACATCCCCTTTTTCCAGTCCTCCCTCATGCAAGCTGGCAGCAATAATGGGGTTCATCCCCGCAGAGCTTCACAGAACCCTTCACAGCTGCCCTCAGATCCTGGGCCATGCCAACAGGACATTCTGGTTTACTAAATCTCAGGAGAATTCCTTGTTGAGACATTTTCCTTCAGATTGGAGAGGAACAGGTTGCCAGCATTTTCTGACTTGCATCCTTTGACCTCTGCACATACCTCGTGGGCTCTGTCCCCACATTCACAGTCCTGCCCATGGAGGAAAGCCAAGCAGGGCTCTCCCAGTCCACTGGCTTGGGACAATTCCAGCTCCAAGGAGCTCACCAGCGCGATTTTGAGGAAGATGGTCTTAGTTTTGTCCCCCTGATCTTCCTTTGCTTACCCTCCTCACTCACCATCACTGCTACTGCTTAGCCAAGGATGGGAAGAAATTCACCTTCCCAAAGGGAACAGACTGCCTGCTTTGCTCCCAGCAGGACAACAGCATTGCCAGAGGATGGTCACATCAGCTTCCCAAGTCCTGTGTGTACCCACTGCACTGACACCACCCCTTGTCACTGCTTGGAGGAGGGTTGGGAATGACACCCACCTCTCATGTCCGACACTCTGGCTCTGCTCTCTGACAGCTCCCTGGTGATCCTGGCAATGAAGGCCTCCTTTTCCAGAAGCATGCTCTGTGCCACTGCCAGCTCCTCCTGCAGTTTCCTGGGAAAGATCAGTGCAAATCTCACAGCTCACTGGGAGGCCTCATTTCACGGAGCACACACACCTTCCTGCACTGCATCTTCTGATGAACACTCACACATTCCTTTTTTCCCTGCCTTTTGCTCCCCTGGGGTCACCCTGTGCAGTGGGTCTGGCCACCTCACTCGCTCTTGCCTGGAGCCATCTGGATGGGATGGCACATCCTCATGTGCTGTTAGGATGCTCCATGCCCTCAGGAACACCTCTGCCTAGCAAAGGGACTAAAGAGTCCCATCCCAGACTAAAAAGATCTTGGGACAAGTCTCCTTGGACTTCCTTAGGCTCTCCCAGTGGTCCCTGCTCTTCTCCAAGCCTCTCTGACCACCACCAGTGAGAGCTGCTCACCTCAGACAAATGTGTGACTCCATGGCAGGACAAACCTCCAGCCAAGCTCCCGATGCTGACCTGTGGGCACCGCGCTGAATTACTACAGGACATGAGAAAATAGGGCCCATTACTTCTTTGTAACACTTGCACACTTGTTCTGCTGCTTCTGCAACACAGATCCTTTCCTTCATGGCAGCTTCAAGGACTGAGGACCGTCTCCTTGGGAAATCCATGTCTCTTAGAGCCCATGGGAACAGCGCTTGGGCAGTTCCCAACATCCTGTCTGGCTTGGGATCTCTTCTGCCTGAGTGTAACCCAAAGTGCTCCTCCAGTCTTGTTGGTTTAGAGGGTAAAAAGCCCTTCTCCAGTGGCAAAGCCCTTTTTACCAACGGTTTCCAAACCCACCAGACAATGAAATGGCCTCTGCAGGGACTCATGGACCTTGTCCTGCACGTGGGCAAAGCTCCCTCTGACATCCTACCCAACACTTTCCATAGCAGCAGATTCACTGCTCCCTCTCCATAAACATTCCATGTTAACCCAGCAGGTTCCTGGTACAGGTGCATCCCATACAACCCTTGCCTACCTTCCATTTTTTCCACGAGTGCTGCCTTTTCCTCCTCCAGCATCTTCTGCTCCTGTGTGGCCTCCAGCAGCCTGTCCTCTAAAGCCACGATGGTCAGGGAATGCTGCTTGCTTTGCTCCCTGTATCCTGCTATTTCTTCCTGCAGTTTCTGCCTCTGTAACTCCTTGTCCTCCTGGACAGCCCTGAGCTGCTCATCCTGCACGAGCAGCTGCTGCTGGAGCAACACCTGGGAAACAAGAGCTGGGAGATTGGCTGGAGGCACTGGTGGTTTCCTTTGGGATCACCAGCAGTGTCATCTCTCCTGGCTAGCTCTTGGAAGGACGGAGGGGAGGGAAGGATTTCAAGGATGGGGGAACCCTTCTTCATCAACACTGCACCCTCCACCTGCACACACAGGTTGGTGGAAGTACCTCTCGGGCAGTGGTTTCCTCCAGCTCATGCAAAGCTTCTTTCAGTTTGCCCTCTATCACCTCCTGCTCCTCTGCCTTCCTTGCTGTTGCCTACAGGATGAAATTAGCAGTAATTAAGCTATCCAGGAATCCACCTTTCTCTCTGCAGATATTCATCTCTGTGTATTTTGGGGGGGGAAAAACCACTGATTTGGGCCCCTGGAGCACCACATTACAACACACATTCCCATTTCTTCACTCCCAGGGTGAGCTGTCCTGTCCTCACTTCCCATGCTCACCTCATTCATGCTTTTCAGGTGGCTTTCCAGCTCTTGGATCTTCTTCTGCTCTTCCTCCACACATTTCTTACACCTGTCCTTCTCCTCAGCAAGAGTGCTTTCTAGAATCTGGGAATAGATAGGTCACAGCTTCAGCACAGAAAAAATCATGACCTTAGGAAAAAGACCTCAGGTCCAGGGAGGAAAGCAGCAGGGAGGGTCACTGCTCCAGAGCAGGGGCAGGTGATGGGAGAAAAGCCTGGCAGGACCCGAGGTGACCCAGTGAGGGAGTGGATGGGAGCACCTGGGGAAAGGTACATCCAAGAGACAGGGGAGGAGCTGCTTGGCTGCTCCTTTCCTGAGTCCTTAGAAAACTCAACACCAGGAAACCACCATTCCTGAGGCACCAGACACAGAAGCACACTAGAAATGGTGTTACAAGGCCTGCTGTCCCCACCACAACACAGACGTGGCAAAACACCAACCTGCACCCTCACTAACACTGCATCCCACACCAGAGCCACCAGCATTGTGGCCTAGGCTTTCCTGGGATGGAGGGGGACTGCTGGTCCCTGCTTCACAGGGGGTGCCCTTTTCCAGCTAAAACAGACCCAACAGGAACTCAGCATGGGGAGGGAGGGAGCAGAGGGCTTGAGAGGAGGCAATGCAGTGCTTCCCTAAGCTCACACATCGGGATGATGCTCCTTGCTTTCTCCTTTCTCCCAGGGACTGACTGGCACCCGTGCTTCCTGTTACCCACAGGTGCTTCCCAGTACCACCATGGATACTTTGGGGGAGTTTACATCACCTGCATTCATACAGGAGGATATTCTATATCCTCTTGGGATCCCATCGGGCTCTTAGGACTGCACCCAGACAGTTCAAAGCTAGAGATAATAACCAACACTCTTACAGACACCCATTTTTCCTGCATATAACATTCCCTTTCCAAACCACCAACCATGCCACTCTACCTCTTTGTTCTCCTTGTCCTTTTCCAGGATAATTTGCTGGATTTTTATCTCCAAGTCTTGCTCATGTTTTGCTTCCAACTCCTTTGTGTGCTCCTGTAGCATCTCTGCCTGTGACTGCTGGAGCCTCTCTAATTGCTCCTACAGGGAGACACCGAGGTATTAAAGGAAGTGTGTCAGCAGCAGGGGAAGAAATAAACCTCCTGTGAACATTCACTCACAAACAATTCCCAAAAGAGTCTCCTTTCCCCTGCATTTCCTGCAGACCCAGGCACCTTGGCTACTGCACATCCCCAATCCAGATCCCACACTGGCTCACTTAGGATTACCATCATGTTTAACCATAGAAAGATTCCAAATCTACATGGTTCGTGTACATAAATATTTCTGTACCTGCAACAGCTGATTCCTCTGTGCCACTTCCTGAGTCTTTTCCAACAAGCTCCTGAAAGCAGCCAACAGCCCTGCAGAAGTCAACACAACCCAGCTGTGTGGGGTGCTCACACACCACATTAGGGACATTAGGGAAAATTTCTTCATGGAGAGGATGGTCAGGCATTGGAACAGCCTGCCCAGGGCAGTGGTGGAGTCACCATCCCCGAAAGTGTTCAAAAGGTGTGTGGATGTGGCACTTGGGAACAGGGTTGAGTGGTGGCCTTGGCAGTGCTGGGTTAATGGTTGGACTCGATGACCTTAGAGGTATTTTCCAGCCTTAAAAATTCTGTGATTCCATGATTTTCTCTACAAGGAGCGGCTCATGCTGGATTTTCTCCTCTACATCTGGCTAGCTAGGACAACCCACCTTGTGCAGGTGTTCCCAGGGATGCCCAGCAGGACACAGACCTTGGCCAGAGGTGCACAGGTCCATCCCTGCACTGGCCAGGAGCTGCTCTGTGTCCTCCAGCCAGGAGAGGGGGACACGTGCCATGTCCACCACTGCTGTCCCGATGGCTGAGATGGAGGGATCCAGGGACACCACCTCCAGTTGCTCCAGCTTCTCTTGCAGGCTGGTGCTGCTGCAGGAGTTCCTCAGGCAAGCCTGGAAAAAATGGAACCAGTGGGGAACAAGCCAGTCTCCACAGTCAGGGGCTTTCAGGGACTTGGCAAATGACACAACCTCACTGAACATCTCAGGCCAGGTTGGACAGGGCTTGGAGCAACCTGGTGTAGTGAAAGGTGTCCCCACCCATGGCAGGGGGTGCAACGAAATGAGCTTTAAGGTCCCTTCCGGCCCAAACTATTCTAGGATTCTATGGCAAACTGCTGGGAACAGCCACATGAACGCTTTGGGATGACACTCTGCTTCAGGGTCATACCTTTAACCTATCCACAGGCCAACAAAATGCCCTGTGCCACCATCTCCCAGCTGCCACTTGGTCCTCAGTATTTAAAGGACTGACCTGGAGCTCCCGCAGGGAATTCTTGAGCACCTCAATGTTTGCAGACACCTCCTTCTCCTTCATGAGCCTGGAGCTTAACTCCTCCTGCAGACACTTCTCCCTCTCGTGACTCTGCTGGTTCTCATCACAGATTTGCCTGACCTTCTCTATCACCTGGCAAAGGTGGAGGAAGAAGAGGATAAGGCACTATATTCATATCCTTTTCCAGCTGAGGGACCATGGATGGTCTCAGCAAGAAACAATCGAGACTTGCTGCAAACTGGCAACCACGCCAGGCCCCTGGGCTTGCCCCTGCTGCAGCCCACTGACTCCATCCAAGCTGTGGGACACAAAAAGGACTGTGTCTCCTTCACATCATGGAGCAGTGCCATCAACCTGGGACAGCCACAGCACAGCTCCTCATCTGCAGAAGCTGGGATGCCACCAGCCCTACTGAGCACAGAGCAGGCACTGTGGCTGTTCCGCAGCATCTGCACTGAGCTGCACCGGGCGTTGGAGGCACCATGAGCTGGTATCCAACTCACCTGCTCCTCTGTTATGGATTTCCCTGTGCTGCCTGCTGCTGATGGAGAACAGACTTGCATCACTTGGGTCTTGAAGGACTCCAGCTGCAGCAAGGATTGACACAGGAAAACAAACATCACTGATCACTGAGGCTGACTGATCATCTCTGAGGATAACTGATCATGGATATCTAGCATGATGTTGCTCTGCAAAGGGCTGTCCCCGCCAGAGCAGCATTACCCAGGCACACAGGGGGGTTTGTGTGGGTCCCAGACAGTGTAACCAGGATTACAGAATCCTTTTTTGTATCCTGTTAAACTGCTCTGTCGTCTACGCTGCCCACACAAATCCTGTGGATAAGCCTTTTATACCTCACCCGACGACAAGTCCCATGCCAGGGTTTGGTGCTCAGGACTCTGCGTTT